TATTTAAAAAATATTTTTAAATTATTTTTTATAAAAAAATACTATAATATTATTTTTTTAGGTTCATTATATAAGAATATATTTAAAATTTTATATATTTTTATTTTTTTATATTAATATTAATGTAGTTGATAAAAATCACTTGTAAAAAAAATTGGAGGAGTAGTGGATAGTATTGGCCCAAAAAATAAAAGATTAACATAGTGAATAGCCATGCTTTCAGAGTTTTTCACAGATGAATGATTAATACCTGTTTGAATTTTAGTTGAATATAATAAATTATAAAAATAATTGATTAAATGATAGATTTTAATCATAATTGATTGTGTTATAATACAATCTGTTTGGATACTATTTTTTTAAAATTAATTTTAACAGAATTGAAGATGTTTGAATAATTTATTCAGAATTAATTTTAGCTGTATAAATTATCATAAAAAACATTGCCTTTTAAAATTAAATTATTGATAAACTTGTTTCTAATATTTAAAAAGTAAAATATATTATTTAAATTATATATCTGATTAATTATAAAAATTTAAATTATATTAGTATTGACAATTTTAATATACATAAATAAATAACTTAATATATCTTAATTCAAATAAATTTAATAAAAGAGAAAGATTGTATTCTTAAATACCAAATATCAATTTTATAATAACTAATGAAAATGATAATGTAAAAGTTGATCTGTAATGACATCACAAATATAAGCCATATTCGATGAAGACGTGAAGCACTGCTTAAAAATTCTAGCAACCTAAAAAATATAACGATGTAACAAATGACACAAAATCTCTTTCTTTCTTTATGTACTTTTGCAACAATCTTTATAATGACCTTTAATTTTAAATTAAATTAAATTAATTTTCTTCTACCAAATAATATTTATTTAAATTAATTTTATAGCAAGTGCTAAGTGGAGGATAGTAGTTGATAGAAACTTATGTTAATAACTTTTTTAAGGATTTAAAATTTAAATTTTACTAAAAAAAAGAGAGTTTGATTTTTTTTATTAAAGTTTGTGCCTTTTTATAATTTTTTTGAACCTTTCTTTATAATTTTCTCCATATATTTTTGTAATTTGAACCCAAAAGCTGCCTCTGATAGCTTTGTAAAAAAAAAAATATTGATTTTTTTGGAAAAATTGCTGTTTGGATTCTAAATTGCAAAATTACTTTTTTTTTTCTTCAAAAAAATCGGTCAATGAGCTATCCAAAAACACACACTATAAAACAGACCAACTGAACAGCAAGACTCACCGTCCAACTTCAACTCAAGTTCCACCAGACTATTATCAGAAAATTCCAAATCAATTTTAAATTAAAAGACTCCCCTTTTTTTTTTAATCTGTATTCAATGAATTTTTTAGACATCTCTACCCGTGACTGGGTAAATATTGGGTGCTGCGCGTCTTGTCCCACCAAAACCCCATTGTCATATCCCTGGGCCATTCTAAATCAGACAAAATCCTAATTATCAAAGAGGAAGTGAACAAGTGTCACCGTGCCACACTACCGGCCCCATCCGCATCAAATCCAATATAAATTCTAACGTTCTTAATTCACTAGATTTATGCCCCGTTCATCGGAAATATTTTAGTTTTTAAAAATAAAAAATATAAATATTAAAAAATTATTTTACTATTCTTAAAGTAACAAATATTATTTTTTATTTATTTTATCTTAATTATAAATATTTTTTATTTTTAAAATTTATATAAATTCTCCTTAAAATTAACAGTTAAGAATTGTAAAATATAAATATATCTTTTATTTTTAAGTTTTCATTTTCACCTATTTAATTATTAATTGACAGTTATTATTCTTAATATATTTTTAAAAATTTTTATTTTTATTTTAAATTTATTAGTCATACAAACTAATTTATTTAGTATTTTTAAAAAAAATTAAATATATATTTTATTTTTTAAAAAATGTAAGGTATTTTTAACTATATCTTATCCCAAATAAAGTAGTTATTTGTTTTTAAAATAATACTATCTTTTTATATTTACTGTTTAATTGGGTGTTTCACTCTATAATATATATAAAATAATTTATTTATTATGAATATTTTTGAACAAAAAGTTAATGATTATATCTTTAAATATTAAAAATACTTTATATTTTTTAACATTTAACTCTTAAGAAATGACCCCTTGAAAAAAGGAGTAAGTTTTCAAAAATAATATTTCCAACACATATCTGCAGGAAAAAAAAATTAATAGAATAAGAGATAAATTAGTTGATATACTTTATGTTTATGTTTATTTAAATTTTATAATCTTGAATAATGAGACTAAAGTGTAAGTTTTAAAAAACAAAAAAGAAATCTTTATAATTCTAACAAAATAAAAGGAATGCTAGCATATTTTACTCTTTAATTTATTAATTTGTGCAGATTAAAATCTAAAAATATTTTATTTTAAAATTTATTATGTTCATATGTATTAAAAATATAAATAATAACTTATTTTATTTTAGAGTGTATTATCTCATGTAAGTTAAAATTTAAGGAACACTTCTTCTTTTTATTTCCTGAGATATTCTTATAGTTGGCAAGCATGAGATTAAAATTTTAATGGAATGATACTTATAAGAAATGACTTCTATTTTACCATGTGCTACTCTTATACATATTAAAAATTATTATTATTTTTTAAAATTTCTCATATCTTGTATTTTGAAATATAATCTAGCTTGTTTTTTTTTAAATGTGTTGCCTTGTGTATCACCTTAAAAAAATAAAAAATATACTATAATGAATCATACTACAATTTACATGATAATATTATTTATAAATCATAATTATAATAGTTCTAAACTAAGCAAATAATATAATTCATGTTTTACTATCATTTATCAATCATACGTACAAGCATCACAAGTAATATAATGATTATTAAAAAAAGATTAAATATGCAGTAAAAGATAAATTTATTAATATTATACAATTAATTTGTAGCTTATAATTTTTGTTACCTAAACTCGAGGCACCTAACTATATTAATATTTTTTATAGGTGTTTAAATCATAATTAACTTTTACATATAAATAATAAAATAATAAATTTTTATTCCTTTTGCATTTAAAGAATATAAATAAAAACTTGTTCTATATATGCTCACACAAACTATTTTAATTTGTTATTTTTTATTAATAATAAATATTACCTCCATTCAAAAAAAGTTATTTTTAACTAAATACCACCTCCAATAAATTTGTTGCTTAACTTTAAAGTAATTCTATCTTTTATGTTTACCTCTATTTAATAAATTATTTTACCCTAAAATAAATATAAAATGATTTATTCAATATGAATATTTATGAAAAATTTATTACACCTTAAAAGATTAATTTTTTTTATTTTTTAACATCCAATCTCTTAAAACATGTCTTATATTTTTTAATGGAAGGAGTTTAATAAAAATTATTTATATATCTAACACTTATTGTTTTACTAAAATCTTATATGCACCATTAATTTTTAATATAAAATTCTATATAATCTCTCAAAATATAAAAATTTTATTTTTTTATGCCTTGTTTAAATTTTTAAAATTTTAAATTAGACCCTACTCATATATTTTAACTGTAGGTCCTACACACCATTTTTTTAAACCACACTATTTTATTTTTTAAAAATTTAGTTTATTAAAATATTATATTCCCTCAATTACCTTTAGAGCCTCAATTCATATCAAGTTTAAAATATTTAAATATATAAAAAAATTTATAGTCAAGTTTAACTCTTAACACCTCTAGCTTTATGATTTTTTTAGACTAGTTTAACTACCCCAAATTATTAAAAAATATTTTATTTTATTTTTTCTTTATTGAGTCCATACATTGCATTTTTGAATATCTTTTTTGGCCAATTTATATATTTAATTTTTTAAAAATATACAAAATAAATACATTTAAATAATAAAAATTAATTTTTAATAATTTAAATAATTTTTAGACAACATTTATATTTAAATAGGGGCATTTTAATCGAACAAACATGACTTAATAGTCAACTAATAGTTAGATGGATAAAAATAAAATCTTAAAAATAAAAGCAGGACTGTTTTATAACTATCCATACTAAAAAATATTCATATAGGTTTCAAAAAATAGGAGGTATCATTATTTAATATAAAATGGATACAATAATTTTTTTATTTTCAAGTATAAGTTCCGCATCAACAATTTATTTTTTTGTAGATCCTACATGTACCTTTTTTATTACAGGGATCACATTATTCTTTTCTTTTTTAATTTACTATATCATATTACAAAAATTAACAAATAAAAATAAAAAAAAGAAAGAGAATGATAGATACTCTAACAATTTTTTTTTAAAAATAAAAAGTCAAACTGTGTTTACAGATAAAAAAACCAAGGAAAATATTTATTACCCTCTCCAAGATGTAAGGTATTTTTAGTTTTTTATGTGTAAGTATTATTTTTTTAAAAAAATATCCTTATTAATAATAATTTTATATTTATTATAGAATATTTAATAAATATAAATATAAAAATATAAGGTTAGTTGAAAAGTAAATAATTACTTTATTAAAGGGTGAGATTTAATAAAAAATATTTTTATTTTTGAACTGTATATCATATTAAAAAGATTAACAAATAAAAATAAAAATAGAGAGAGAGAGAGAGAGAGAGAGAGAGAGAGAGAGAGAGAGAGAGAGAGAGAGAGAGAGAGAGCATACTTCGCAACAAATTTAAAAAAACCAGGGAAAAAGTGGGCATTTCTGGCAAATTACTGTTCATTCAGCAAAGACACAATGATGGAATCATGACCCAGTTTTCAAATCCTTTTCTCATATGTAGACTACTATACTCCGCAATATCAGGCATTTGGTGGAACAACATAGGATGCTACTCAATCAAGGCATGAAACCTCTTAAATGTCAATATATACCTCACGATTTAAGTTATATATTGTATTTGCTTTATTATACGAACTGGAAAACAAATGCATGATAGGCCATGTCCAAGGGCGCCACGTCGAACATTATAGAGGGAATGATGGCCCGCTCACTCGTGACTCGACCTCTCGTATAAGTTGCAGTCTTCTTTTCTTCCATCTGTTAATTTTCTGAACATTCCTTTAGGTATAATGGAAAAGTTGTGCGCTCTCATCGTCGCTTCTCTAATCTTTGGCCCGCCGTTTGTAACAAGAGCAACAGCTTTGAGGAGCCGTGATGGATTAGAGGAATGGGGATATGTTGAAGTTAGACCTAGTGAGCTAAATACTTGTTGATTCCATATCCATTTGGTCATATTTCAAATAAAATATATTTTCTCTTGAAACGGCCGGTGTGATAAAGTTTTCTATAATTGGATTGTTATGACAGAAGCCCACATGTTCTGGTGGCTTTACAGGAGTCCCAACAGAGAAAAAAATGCCTCCAAGCCATGGCCAATCATTCTCTGGTTGCAAGGAGGTCCTGTAAGTATATCATTGAATGCTTGAGGGTCAAGAACGGATTATAAAATGCTTCATGAATGAAAACCCAGGTTGCTCTGGTACCCAAAATTCTGAGCTGGTGTAAATATTGAATAGGGTGCTTCAGGAGCTGGCTATGGAAATTTTGAAGAGATTGGGCCTCTTGATGTCAACTTGAAGCCACGAGACTCCACATGGTTGAGGATAGCCGATCTGCTGTTTGTGGTAACCCAGCCATAGAGAAAACTAATCTTCGACGGCAATTAGTTCCATACTAGTGATTATATTGATTAGCTTACTTTTATCCTCCAACCTTTTAATTTGTTGTTTTCGCTCAATACCATGCATATAGGATAATCCAGTTGGAACTGGATTCAGTTTCGTGGAGCATCCGAAACTGCTCGCGAAAACAGATGAGGAAGCAGCAACTGACTTGACTACTTTGTTGATTAAGATATTCAAAAAGAATAAAAGCCACCGAAAGAGTCATCTCTACATTGTGGGAGAGTCTTATGGTGGTAAGTTTGTGGTTACCCTTGGATTATCCGCTCTCAAAGCCATTGAAGCTGGGAAGTTGCGACTCAAACTTGGAGGTAATCCCTCCTTCGAAGAGTCATCTTCATCTTTCGCTGTTTCTCGATCGAAGCCCTTCAGATTAATGTATGAGTTGTAATTATCAATACAATATAATTATTAATCCCCTTGTATTTCGTACTCAGGTGTGGCATTAGGGAATAGTTGGATTTCCCCAGAAGATTTTGTGGTAATTGCTTGAATGCACCATTTACCACTGTCCACTGTATGTTGACTCTGCGTTTTAACTATATATCATGTACACATATTGCAATTGCAGCTCTCGTGGGGTCCACTTCTCAAAGACGTCTCGAGACTCGATGACTATGGGCTGCGAAGATCAAACAGGTTCATCTCATACTGTTTCCATCTTCTTTGTACGATATATAAGAATTTCTCAGTTATTTATATCTAACAAACTCCATTCTAGAGACCAGTATAGCTCGGAAAATCAAGAGGCAACTTCAGGATGGCCAATTTTTTAATGCCACAAATTCATGGCTCGATCTTGAGGGGGAGATATCATATAGCAGCTACGGAGTGGTACAGCAATTTTTTGTCTACATTCTATATATCCTTTCTCAAACATAGTTAACTTGCATAATTAAGCTACTAACTAAATATAGTAAAACATATTGTATTGGGTAATTAATCCAGAGCATGTACAATTTCCTGTTGGATGAGGAAGATTCGGGAGTTTTATCAGGAATTGAAGCGAGATCACCCCAAAGAACCGTGAGGAAACGCTACTCCAGTTATTTGAAAGCATTGTGGTCTTCAACAGGTGGTGGTGGGGATGTTGGGAGTTTGTTAAACGGTGCCGTCAGGAGGAAGCTGGAGATTATTCCGGAGAATGTTACGTAAGTTTCGTGATTCACCTATTCCACTGTGTAAAAGACGGATTTATACCAGCTATCACTTGTGGTGACAGATGGCAACTTCTGGCAGACCCTGTAACCCATCGTTTTGACGGTGATTTTATGAAGCCCAGAATTGACGAGGTAACAACACATCGGTGATTAATTAATGATTAATTAGAACCACATGTCAGCTGTGAATTACGATTTAATTGTTTTTTTCAATTATAACGTACTGTCGGCTGTTGGCGAGACCGTGTCTTCGTTTTCATCTTTTGACCATCTATTAATATACGACGTTAAATTGTTCAAGTTTCGTGCAAGAAATGTATTGTTTTTTTTCCTCTTTAAAATCAAGTTAAAATATATAAGCTAATTACTCCCACCACACCACAATAGAAGTTGCTTTCTACAATTACCTATTAGTTTAACATACAGAGTATTAGATAAATTTTATATTTTTTCCTTCTATACCCTTGCTTTTTTATTTATTATCTTTATATGTTTCATATTTAAAGACTTTGCAAATGAAAACTGAAAAGATATAAATATTTGTAGAAAAGTAAGGTGTTAAATAATATTTTTCATAAACTGTAAGTTACTTAATAATGATAAATATTGTAGTTCTAAGGGAATAATTTATAAGTCAAAATTTGCGTCCATGATGCACTAGTGTTGTGTTAACAAAACTTAATGGTGTATTAATAAAAATTCATTGTGAATATTACACTAAATTTTTATAATGTTTTAAACTATTTATGAAAACTAACAGAATTATATAAAAGCCTGACCTTTCCTTGCAATGTATATAATTGACATATTTTAGTTGGGTTGTTTGAGCTAGGTTGACGAGCTGCTAGCAAAGGGAGTGCATGTAACCGTGTTCAATGGACAAGTAAGAATACTTCCTCTGGACACGCCTTTCGCATTTGGTTGAGAAGAATTGATGACAATATCATGCTAGCAATATTCTTTTAGATATACAGCTAACCATTATGTGATTACTCTGGTGACTATAGTTAATCAATCATCCCACCTTTCTTGAGATGTGTTTGGATAACATCCCAGCTGAGGTTTGGGGATGTTAAAAGCTAATTAGAAATTATTTATAAAAAAAAAAATGAACAAGCAGTGGGGGCTTAATGGGCGTTTTGACGGAAGCTACCTGGAGAAGCTTTTTAACGTAGTCTGAAGGTTGCATTATGTTGGATGAAATTTTGGAGTGAATATCCAATTTAATTACCCGTACCCTCTCTCCCCTTCTTCGGTTCTGCTCTCTCCCTCACTCCCTCATCCTTCCCTCCCTCTCCTCTCTTCACTCATCACTGTCACAGCGTCTGATATGTTTTCTGGACTCCCTTTCCTATGTTTTTTTTTTTTTTTGCACTATTGTCGCTAATTTACAAGGTCTCCAATAAGAAGTTCTCCAGTGTTTCAGGGGAATGGGGTGTGTTTTAAGGTAGTTGACAAAATTTGAAAACACTTCATTTCCAGGAACTGAGGAATGAATGAATATTCTATGGGTAACAGGTCTGAAATTTCACCGTCTGTGACTCCTGTTTTCCATGGCTGGTGGGGGGGAAAAGACAAAGGAATTGAGGAGAGGTGGAGGATTTTTTTCATATGTTGTTATTATGTTTTTACGTCAATAAATAGTTTTTATATTCAATTTTTTTTCTTTTGCTAAAAAATACTTTAGTTATAATTGTTTTTTCAATAATTATAATTTATTATTTCATTCTTTTTTAAAAAAAATTAAGATTTTTGAGTTATCAATGTATTTTATGTTTATAATTTCCTTTTTAAAAAAATTATAATTCCAATTAATATTTTCTCTAAAAGCATCAAATTAGTCATAAAAATATATACAAGAAATTCATGTTTATTTCTATTATTATACATCCCAACTAATTTTTAAATTAAATTATTCAAAAAAAAATTAATTTATCCAATAAACTTCTAAAAAATATTTAAATATATATCTCATTATAATTATGGATTTTTTTTTCAACTTTAATTTTTTTAACTTCAATTGAATCATATTTGATTGTAAATATTTTAATCCAACCACAATCATTTCGCTTTGGACTGGCACGGTGGCAGGGTACGAACTAAGTAATGCTGTTCGTACATATTCTCCCCTCTACTATATTTTATAATTGCAGAGATAGGTCTATGATAGGATCCTATAAATGTGAGAGACTAAAACATTAGAAGCATTGATTACGGGCACCCTAAATAGAATAACGGTCAGTCGGCCAGTGGAGTGAGAGGCCTGCTTGTTCAGATTGCCTGTGGATCATGTTTAATGATGTTGTGTGGTATAATTAACAAGAAGAAAACATGTGTAACATGGCCTGGCTGTAGCTGGATGTGATTTGTGCGACCAAGGGAGTTGAAGCATGGATCAGGAAGCTCAAGTAAGATATATGATTGCTGTTGTTCGTTAAAGAAAGGGAGAAGGCAACGTTAACATCGTCAATTTGATTAATGACTGTTTGTTCTGTTTCTGCATAATGTAGGTGGGAGGGGCTTCCGAAATTCCTAGGCAAAGAAAGGGAGCTCTTGACCGGGAGGTGTGGGAGTGACAAAAATATCAGCAAAGGCTTCCTCAAGTCTCACAAAAACCTTCATTTCTATTGGATTCTTGGTGCTGGCCATATGGTAATTAATTACATTAATCATATATACATGGCCACGGTATATTCATTAATCGTATCTTTGACAGTACCCATGCATTAATTCGCAGTGACGTGTATGAGTTGCCTCTGTATGCATGCAGGTGCCTAAGGACCAACCATGTATGGGCTTGATTGTGGCGTCTGCTATTACACATCCATGACAACCTGCTTCTACTTGATTCATAAGGAGATATATAGCGCAACATAAATAGACTACGTACGTATAGACTGTGTGTGTATGTGAACAGTAAGAATCGGAGCAAGATTAAGCAAAAGAACAACCATAAACTTGTCGTGTGTGTGTTTGTAACAGAGAGATGTAGCAAAACTCTATCCAAGTTCTGCAATGTACTGATTACGAAGTTATGATTAACATATTTTTAGCAATGGAGTGATGAGTATATATGGGTCCAGTGACAAGTAAAAGAACTCAGAGCAAGAGCTTGGGATATGAGCCCATTACAATGATGGCCCTCGAGTACATTTCTAAGCTCTTTGCCCGAAAAAAATATTACACCCGCGCACCAAAAACCACAGTTTTTTGGTTGAAAAGACTACCGAATGTATTATTACATTGTGCATTCATTTATACCAAAAACAAAAAAACATCGAACGTATTATTTGTACAAAAAAATTAAAAAAAGAGAGAGAGGATAAGCTTTACATATGACCAAAAAATAGTAAATAACTATTTGCTTAGCTTGAAGATGAATTAAAAATTGTCAAAAAGCACATTATATTTTAAAATATAGGGAAAAAATCTCTTTACTATTTTAAATATGTCTCAAAAATAAGAAAATCTTTCTTGTTAGTTCTTATCAGTCAACTTCATCACCCAAACAAGTAAGTTTTATTTTTTTCTTTCATGCCATCAGTTTTATGAATTTACATAATGATCCCTGGGAAAAATAAAACGTTGTAGTTCTTTTTTTAAGAAAATATTATTTTTAAATTGTTTTTTTTTCTCAATTATCTATTATTTTTCTACACGCTAATTTAAAACAATTCAATCAATTTATATTAAGTTAATGAATTATAACAATTGAATTGTTTTGAATTACAAATATCAGATTGAGTTTTTCAAAATCAAGAAATTGTGTAGGGAGTAAGTAGTTTAATTCCATGTTAAAGTTTATAAGTTAAACTAATAATTGAGTAAAAATTATTGAACTTACAAAAAATTTAAGCTTCCAAAGCCACGAATAATGTGTTAAAAGTTTGAATCTGTAAAATACCAATATTTCAAATTACATCACATATCCTATTGAAATTGTATCCGATATCGATGCTTCTTTAATATGTATTCATAGAGCATCAAAATATTTTTTGTATTTTTTATACATATCCGATACTTATAAATTTTATGACTTGAAATTATATTTTTTAAAAAATAAAAGTACCAATATGTCAGATATGTACATTATAGATTGTGATTGGTTAATTAATGTTTAATATATTTGGCCAAAAATTATTTAATACTCCATCCGTTTAAAATTATAAGGTATTTTTAACTAAATTTTACCTCAATAAAGTAGTTATCTATTCTTAAACTAACTCAATCTCTTTATATTTACATCTATTAAATACCTTATAATAAACATAAAATCATTATTAATAAAGATACTTTTAAAAAAAGCTAATAATTATACATTAAAAGATTAAAAATGTCTTACATTTATAAACATATAACTCTTTAAAAAATACCTTATATTTTTAAACGGAGAAAGTATATACATATGAGCTATAAAAGGAAAATTCTTATTCTTATTTGCTGTGAGATAATTTTTAGTAGCTTTTAGTAGTATCCTTATTTTATAAAATTTATATAAAACATTTTTTTAAAAAAATATATCTAAAACTCTAAAAGGATGTTTGGCAATCTATTCTCATAACAATTTTCTATTTTTTAAAATAAAAGAATAAAAAAATTTATTTAATATCATGTCTTTAAAAGGTATTTAAAAAAAAAAATAAAATATTATTTTAAAAAATAAAAAATAAAAACAAATTTTAAATATTCTGAAATTATTATTCTAAAGAATAAAAAAGAATAAAAAAATATCTATTTTTATTATTTTTTATTCTTAAAATATATTTTATAAAACATTAATTTTCATTATAAAATAAAAATAACTTTAAATAGTTTTATAATTATTAGTTTTTCCCTTTGATCCGTACAGAAACGATAGAGGGAGTCGCCTGCCCTCGATACGCAGCACGCTTTCTGTTGTTGTCGCGTAGCCAATTAATATCATTTATTCACCTAAAGCCATGTATGTGTGCTTCACGCTAGCCCAGCCACCCCTCGTGCTTCTTCCATCATCTTCTTCACTTTCACAGCCCAATTAAAAAAGAAAACCAAGCCTGTCAAAAGAGAACAAACAGATCAACTCCTTTCTTCAATCGTCCCTCTCAACTGAACTTGGATTAGACTAAGGATTTGGAATGGCGTCGATTCCGTCTGAGAACGGCGTCGAAGGAGATGACGAGCGAGAAGAGGAGGACGAAGAAGAGGAGGAAGAGGAGGAAGAGGGGGAGGAGGAAGATGAAGAGGAGCCTAGGCTTAAGTACCAGAGATTGGGAGGCAGCATACCTTCCTTGCTAGCAAGTGATGCGGCGTCCTGTATTGCGGTTGCCGACCGGATGATCGCTCTTGGCTCCCATGCTGGCACCGTTCACATACTAGATTTTCTTGGCAATCAGGTGACCTAACACTCTCATTTCGTTTCGTCATTTATAGTGGACGATGGATCTTTTGGATCCAATTTCGTCTGGTGTTGCACTATTTATTTAAAATTCGAGCTTTCATATCAACTTTGGAGCTTTCTACTGCATTTCCCCTTTTCTTTTTAACTTCTTTTCATTCTTTCTGGAACTTGTTTCTATGTTTTAATGTTTTATAGCGAGTGCTTGGCATCATGAGGGTTAGGTTGCGAGCCTCGTTTCACTAGACTCAAAATGGTTCCTTTCCCTTGCTTTTATCATGAGTGAGCGCTTGTTTGCGTTGTCTGTTTCTTCAAGTGGTTGTTAAGAATTATGTCTATCATTACTCGTACTGTTTCAGGGTCCTTAGAGGCCACACTGTACGCACCATATATCTTATGCAATGTCATGGAGGATTGCTTGTAGCTTCTGGAATGCCACAGCCAATAGCAGACATGTTATTGTATTGTTTCTAAAATCTCTCTAATCGAATTTCCCTATTACAGGTGAAAGAATTCTCGGCTCATTCTGCCGTTGTTAACGACCTTTGCTTTGACATAGAAGGTGAATATATTGGAAGCTGTTCTGATGACGGATCGGTTGTGATAAACAGCCTTTTCTCGGATGAGAAAATAAAATTTGGGTATCATCGCCCATTGAAGGCAATTGCTCTTGACCCAGATTATTCAAGAAAAACATCTAGGAGATTCGTCGCTGGTGGCCTAGCTGGCCATTTATTTCTTAATTCAAAGAAATGGTTAGGCTATCGTGATCAGGTTTTGGATTCTTCTAACCCTAGGAACACAATTGCTCACTAGTCCTTCAATTTATTATTTATTAACCATAGAAATAACGCCTAAAAAACAAAAAACAAAAAATAAAAAGCAGGTTCTGCACTCTGGTGAAGGTCCAATACATGCAGTGAAATGGAGAACAAGTCTTGTTGCTTGGGCAAATGATGCAGGAGTGAAGGTTTATGATACTGCCAATGACCAGCGTATAACTTTTATTGAAAGACCACGCAATAGTCCCCGCCCTGAGCTATTGCCTCCCCACCTGGTTTGGCAGGTTTGTCAAATCTCTAAGTAGACATGCATGCTATTCGAACATGGGCATTGTGGCAGGTGGATGCCACAGCTATAGTTAAATCTGAGGCTTGTTTTAGACTTTTAGTTATTTGAACAGCTGCATGATCACCGTACAATTCATTGTTGTATTATCTCTTGACAAGACGGAAGCCTGATGTCCTTCAATCACACACAGGATGACACCCTCTTGGTTATTGGGTGGGGTACGTCTGTCAAAATTGCATCAATAAGAGCACATCACCATAAAATAGCCAATGGGACATACAGGCAATTTCCCTTGTCTGGGACGAACCAAGTGGATATTGTGGCATCTTTCCAAACCACCTATTTCATCTCGGGAATTGCACCCTTTGGTGATGCTTTGGTTGTTCTAGCTTATATTCCTGCAGAAAAGGATGGAGAAAGGGATTTTAGTAGCACTGCTCCTTCACGTCAGGTATGTTATGCTAGTTGCACTCAATGATAAAATTCATTCAACTTTTCATAGAGACATTTCACCTCCTATTTGTACCATCTCTATCTTCTCTTGCCTTTTCAAGCTGCAGCCTTGTGTACTTTGTTTATGTTTCCTAAGATAACTAAGATGAAGGGTTTGTAGCTTCCAAATTTTTAAATTTACAGTGGTCATAGTCTGGTCCATATTACTGGGATGCAATGGAAGTTTATAATTTTCATTGTAAAGGATCAAATCATGATAGGTCTCATTGGAATTTTAGATTGCATCATACCTTTAAATACGTTTCCTTACCATATTAACATAATGCTGCTTCTTACAAACTAGTCAATCATATATACACTCTGCTATTACATTCTCTATTGTGGTATAGGTCAGGAATTTTGTTATCATATTCTTTGTTAGTACTCTTAGCTAGCATCGTTTGTTTTGAAATGGAGATCTTATCTAGAACTAACTGCACAATGTCCATTAAATTTAAATATGGGAAGAATGTAAAACGATAATCACATATCATAAAAGGCTAGAACCGTGAAGCCACTATGATACCATCATCCTCATTAAATTTGAAAGTTTGCTGCGTTCTTAAGGTGAATAAACATAAGTTTCAACAGGGCAATGCACAAAGACCAGAAGTACGTGTAGTTACATGGAATAATGATGAACTTTCAACAGATGCTCTACCAGTACATGGCTTTGAGCATTACAAGGCAAAGGACTATTCCCTTGCTCACACTCCCTTCTCAGGTTGACATTTGGTTAGCATTGTTTATTATCTGTATTATGTGAATGAATTGGATTTGCATAATAACAGTAATAGCAGCAGTTGTAGTAGTAGTAGTAACTTCTTTCTTTCAAATTTAGGTAGCAGTTATGCTGGTGGTCAGTGGGCTGCAGGTGATGAACCTCATTACTACATTGTATCGCCAAAGGATGTTGTCATTGCAAAACCAAGGTTAATGTTAACTTCTTTAAATTATTATACTTCTCGTAGGGATTGATGCATTTATATAAGAATTATAACCAGAAAAAGCATGTCTGGAACCTTATCTGTCTGACTATCATTATTTATACATTTTGTGCTCTTCTTCATATTAATGATGTGCCCTTCCAATGCCAGCTATCTTTTAGGCATGGAGGAATATCCTAATGCTATGATTTATATGTTGACTTGCATGTTCACTATTTGCCTAATTTGTTGCTTCGCATATATTAGAAATTAAGAATTCTAATTTAAGGAACCATTTTTGTTACTCCTTGTTGTAATGACTAAAGAAAATTAGATGTTGTTTTTCTGTCTCTGTGGTCCTTCTCGGTTCAACTCAGTTAATCAAAGTCCAATATAACTTCCAGATATATAATGGTTTGATACCAAGAAAGAAGAAAAGAAAAGAAATTAGATCCCTCAAAGTGTGTACAAAAAATCATCAATCCCCTTTTCTGTGCCAGATCTCTCTAGATATTTATTTCATTCCATTTGGTAGGAAAATAAGTATCTCCCCCCCCTCCCCATATACTTTCCCCCTTCAACTTATTGCTCTCTAGACCACAACTTCGGCATTAATGAATAATTACCTTATCCATTGGCCTCAAGTGACTGGAAAAATTAAATAAAAACAAATGAAATCTGGATTTCAGCTTTTTTCTCAAAAATTGTGAAGGAAACTTTCTAAACATATCTGAAATGTTTGTTTTATGTTATGACTTATTAAACAGGGATGCTGAAGATCATATTACTTGGCTTCTTCAACATGGCTGGCATGAAAAAGCTTTGGCTGTGGTTGAATCTGGTCAAGGACGGAGTGAACTTCTTGATGAGGTAGTTAAATTAAATCGATGTGCTCCCTTTGTTTATGATTATTAAAGTCAGATGTGTATCCTCATACCAGTAAAAACGTGTGTACTGCTCAATTGTAAACCATGAATATGTATGCATATGGAGACACTTGTTTTTGTTGATTACATGTATCTGAATATTTATAATCATGTATTGCTTAACTATTGGTATTTTTGTTCTTTGAAAAAACTTTTAACCTTCCATAATTTGTGTGCTTGCATTATATAAACCTGCATATCCCCTGTGCCTATGTATGCACGTGGGAGAAAATTAAAATTAATTTGATCACTATTGGAGCATGATTGGTTGTGATTCTAATCTCTCAAGTCTTTGTACTATATATTAGTAGTAATCTCTGTTTCCTTCAAGTTGAATTTGAGCATCTACGGATGATTGATGTTTTTCCCCACTCTCTTTTTTATTCCAAATTTTTGGACCTACCTCTATAGGTGGGTTCTAGGTATCTTGATCATCTTATTGTGGAAAGGAAATATGCTGAAGCGGCTTCTTTGTGTCCCAAGTTGCTCCGTGGATCAGCTTCAGCATGGGAGAGGTACAACATGCCATTATCTCTCAGTCTATTCTGTTATAATTCTTTTTTGTTGATTGTCACTAGACTTCTTCCAACAGATGGGTTTTTCACTTTGCTCATCTTCGTCAACTCCCTGTTCTGGTTCCTTATATGCCCATAGAGAACCCCAGACTGCGTGATACTGCCTATGAGGTAAATTAAATAATTACTATTACAATTAGTGTTTGTTAGAAGCATCTATGATAAACTGACTTGAATAAAATATTATCTATTTTGCTTTTTGTTCAACAGGTTGCTCTTGTTGCATTGGCTACAAATCCATCCTATCATAAGAGTCTCCTCTCCACAGTAAAATCCTGGCCATCTGTAATTTATTCTGCATTGCCGGTTATTTCAGCCATAGAACCTCAGATTAATACTTCATCTATGACTGATTCAGTCAAGGAGGTTAGTCTGGTCAATTATATATGCCTTGAGTCTGATAACATTTGCTTATATTAGCATTAAATTGTTCCTCTTTGTGCGTGCAGGCATTGGCAGAATTATATGCAATTGATGGGCAATATGAGAAAGCTTTTTCATTGTATGCTGATGTAAGTGGTGTTGATCTGTTTTTCCTGTGTCCGGCGAGTAATAAATTGCTTGAATATCATAAAAATTCTCTGGGACTAATGTCTTTTAACCTATTCTGTGTTGGTTGAAATATTTAGCTTATAAAGCCAGAAGTGTTTGACTTCATTGATAAACACAATCTACATGATGCAGTTCGGGAGAAGGTATGGTGTAATTTGTGAATTTGGAATTTATTTTAGAATATTCCATGTTTCCTATGTATTTTTTATTATTTTTGAAAATTCATATTTCATTTCTCTTCACCTGCATTTAATTTTTAGCCTTATTGTACTTGAAGAGCCTTGTGTAGTAAACTGGGATAATGATAATTTACGCCATCATATTTCTTGGATTTATTTAATGTATATGAACAAGCAAATTGACCAAGGGAGAATTATCGGTGGTATTCATATTTGTTTGATATTAGACTTAGACCCCAACAGTCCTACAGTTTCTCAGATCCTTTAGAAACCTAGTGCATAGAGTTGCTCTTCTTTTTGCACTAGGTTTCTTTACTTGATCATTTCACACTTACTTGTCTAATCTATGCCTGTTCAGGTTGTCCAACTGATGATTCTTGATTGCAAGCGTGCTGTTTCTCTGTTAATCCAAAACAGGGACTCAATAAGCCCAGCCGAAGTTGTGAAGCAACTTCTCAATGCTAATAATAAGTGTGATTACAGATATTTCTTATATTTATATCTCCATTCACTGTTTGAAGTAAACCCACATGCTGGGAAGGACTTTCATGATATGCAGGTATCTTTCCCTTCTTTCTTTTGAAATTTCCATCCTTTGATTTGGATTCTTAAGTTTGTAGTTGAATGCAATATCTCTATTGGCAATAGATGAATGCCACGATGAACAGTTACTAGGAATCCAATCCAAAGTGCTGCCGCATTGTGTACATGTCAGAAATTATCCTGCTATCTGTGATTCCGCATTAAGCAACCAGCTCCAACCAAGTTCAAGGCGAAAGCTATATAAAACATTTGAAAGGAAAATTTAGGAACCATTAGTAAATAATTTTTATTAATGATTTAATGTTGAACTTACAAAAAAACTTAGATGTTTATTCATTTGATGGTCCAAAAAAAAAAAAAAGGTGTCACTATGTGACCTTAATGATAAGGGGTTGTTTTGGTGGCACCGTGGCAGAATGGAATATGATGGAAAAGAAAATAGAAAGAGGAGGTGATTTTGTAATTTAGAAATGTGTTGCTACAGCAACAACAGTCAAGATGATTTCACTAGGAGCTATACGAGTTGCATGATGTTATGGCGCTCTATCAACAATCATATCTTTAGATAAATTGTTAACCGAAAAATCTCTTTCAATAACTTCATTGAGTGTTGAGTGTTCACTAGTCTTTCTCTACCCTTCTTCACAGGACTTAAAATTGTCTATTTCACCATTCTCATCAGCATCTCCAACAACCTTCTTTGTATATGCCTAAACTATTTTTGGATTGCGTTTCTAAATAAATAAATAATGACAAGTTACTTTGAAATAACTGTATCAGGGGCATAATGTATGTTACATATTCTTTTTTTCAATGGAAATGGAAAGCTTTTTATTTCCGTGTACCAAACATATTTTGCCATGTTCCCGTCATTGCATGAAAACACTTCTGTTTAGTAACCTTTAGCTATTGCTACAATTTATGTTTGCAAACTTCAAATAATCTCTGGTTATGGCCTGGCTTTACTTTGATGTGGTCTTGCCATGTCATTATGGATATGTTAGTGAACTTACTTGGTGCTTTATTCTTCTTGGATATGCCTTAAACTTGTCTCTGTTGTACTATACCTGTATTCTGCATCTAAACATAAACAACGGTCATGTGAATCTTGTGAATGTATTTTATGGCCCTAATGTCAAATTTTGTTACCTGTGTAGGTAGAACTTTATGCAGACTTTGATCCAAAAATGCTACTTCCATTCCTTCGTAGCAGTCAGCATTATACCCTTGAGAAGGTGAGATCAATCAGATATTAATGTTGAAATTTATATCTTTTTCTTGGTCAAAGAAATTTCTATGTATTCATTCTTGTGAATCAAAGTCATAGTATTTTATTTCAGGCTCACGAAATTTGCGTCAAAAGAAATTTGTTGAGGGAGCAAGTATTCATCTTAGGAAGGATGGGAAACTCAAAGCAAGCCCTGGCTGTCATTATTAATGATTTGGGGGATATAGAGGAGGTATCTCATTTTTGCCTATTTAAAGTGGCTCTTGTATTTTTTGTATTTTTTTTGTGAATTATATAATTAGTGAAACATTACAATTTTGCATTGCACAGGCTGTAGAGTTTGTTAATATGCAGCATGATGATGAACTCTGGGAAGAGCTAATCAAGCAATGTCTTCACAAACCTGAAATGGTATGTGCTGACAACTAAATTGGGGATACAAGATGTATATATTCACATGCTTTGTATACCTGCTCATGCTCGCTTGTTCTAAGCTTGATTTGTAACTGTCAGGTGGGCATGCTATTGGAGCACACTGTTGGAAATCTTGATCCCCTCTACATTGTGAATAAGGTTCCCAATGGATTGGAAATACCTCGGTGAGTAACAAGTATGACCTGACAGCATTTTGTATCATCTATTACATAGAACATATTCAAGGAAGAGTCCGTGATTATCTGGGTTAGAAATTGAGTAAGCAGATGTCCATGTCTCTAATCTTAGATCTTCATGTCAATCACCATGTTTTAATTCCAATTGCGATCGGATTGTTTTTTTCCCCTCATTTTCAAGGATAGCCATGTTATGGATACGTTTGTCTTCACTAACTATTGTTTCTGTATCGGCTTTTCTTACAGGCTCAGGGATCGGCTGGTTAAAATTATTACTGATTACAGAACCGAAACCTCACTCAGACATGGATGCAATGATATCCTTAAGGTGCTCCACCCACCCACCCACCCTTTCCATAGTATAGGAAAAATTTTCGAATACCAAAAGTTGGTTACAGCTACCAAGAAAATATCTTACTGACTTGCTGTCATTGAAACAGGCGGACATTGTTAATCTTTTGATTAAATATAACAATGAGGCAAGGCATGGAATTTATTTAAGTAATGAAGGAGATGATCCACGATCTAAAAGGAATGATGCTTATGCTTCTCAGGCGGTTGAGAAGTCCTCAAGTGTGAGCATGGAAGCCAAGTCGAAGACCAGGGGAGGAGGAAGATGTTGTATATGTTTTGACCCCTTCTCTATACAGAATATATCTGTCATTGTTTTCTTTTGTTGTCATGCGTATCACACTTCTTGTCTTATGGATTCTACCTACAGTAATGGTTACAAGAAAGAGGTTGAAGCACCTTCTCAAGAGGCAGAAACGTGTGATGTTTATAATGATTATGTGGACGATGAGGGCGATGAAGAAGAAGAAACCAAGTCAGGCAGCCCTCGTATGCGTTGTATATTGTGTACTACTGCTGCTAGTTGAGTTTGTGTTTTCTCTGTCTGTGTCTTTGCCCACAGCTTGTGCATGCATGGTTACATCTTAGTTCAGGGTTGCATGTCGATTGTGCACGTGTGGTTTCTCCCTTGTTTCAATTTTGTCCTCAATCTATCATCAATATAGATCATACATATTCTTTTTAATTTTATTCTTTAAAATTTACATTTTTTCTTGTGAGCTGAAATGCCCGCGTGTTTGTGGTTTGCCTTGAACATTTGGTTCAGTTGAAAGGCAGTTCTTTTTAAAGGGAAAATTGCGAGTGCATCTCCATTGAAGGACTCACCTCTTGGTTATTAACTCTTGAGTCTCGAATTGCAAGAAAGAAATTCCTTCAAGATAATTTAAAATAAGATTATGCATGTCAATAAAATTCAATCATAACATTTTATATATTTTGTCAAAATAAAATTATAAACTTTCAAATCATATGGTATTGGTGATAAAATAAAAGGCAAGTCTATGACAAGCTGTATGGGCAAGCGAAACGGTTTTAAACAAAATATGAGTAGAGGTCTTGATTCAAGTAACAAAATTAAATCGTGAAAGAATAAAGATATTAATATCATGTGTAAAAATTTAATTTTTAAACATAATTTTGTTTATATTTTAACTTTCTAATTTCATTTTTTTAAAAATTATTATTATTATTTTGAATTACGATATACATCCCTCTATTTTTATCTAAAATAATTAATATATAATTAAAAATATATTAATTTAATTAAACTGGTTCGACTCTGGTTTAATCTCAGTCAGAACACATTAACTCTTGAATCAATTAATTACTTTGCTTAGAAATACAACAAAAGCGTTAACATAATGTATCTATTACGTTGGCACCCAAAAAAAAAAAAAATCCCTATTACATCGAGATATCTTCAAATAAAATTTTGCCACTATACTTTTCACACGCTAAATGGCTGCCTCATAAGTATGAAGGGCGACTTTTGCAGATTCCACCACATGTATGGTGAGGTGATAATCGATTTCCATGCAATTATTGAAAGAACCAAAATAAGGGCGATTACAATTTACAAGGTGTGGTTGTGATTTGAAATCCCAACCGAAGGATAGAGAAGTGAATGTGAACATGGGCAGAAGAATGATTCCTGGGGACAGCCAAACCATCATGCCTCATCTCACAGTCCTATTTATTGGACCATTGTGTTTTTCTTGTTCATTGTTGTTCTTGTCAAAACTAAATGTAGAAAACAAATTAATTGTAATAAGTAATAGCAGTAAGAAGATATTACCTTTATCCTAAATTATAAGATAATTTAGAAGGTAATGTGGTATTATAAAATATAAAATAATTTGACAAAGATAAGGATTTATTAAATGTACTTTTTTAATATCACCCTTCCCTCCTTATCATTTTCTCTCTCTTTAATCATTAAAGGTTATATTAAATGAATAGTATTTTTAAAATTTTATTTTTTTTTATTTTTAAAAAATTAAGTTTGTAAATTATATTTAATGAACTTTATGTGCATGTGTAATTTTGTCTAAACTTATTTTATAAATTATTTTTTTCATTCTAAAATATAAAATAATTTGAGAGAAGATTGGGAATACCAATAAAATATAATGATGATATTTTACAAACTTACTTTTTCATAATAAAACTATAAACTTTTAAAAATGCTCGTACACACTTAATTAGTATGTTATAATATCATTTTAGTTCTTTCTTTATTTAAAAGATAACATTGAAAAAGTATTATTAATAAAATTTTATTTTTTTTCAAATTCTTTTATTTTGAGACAAAAAATTTCTCTAATATAATCTCATAATTTGGGACTGAGGGAGGAAGATGGGGGAAGAGGGACTCTCCTTTTCTGTTCTCTTCTTTTCTCTCCACTTCCCCCATCTCCACCCTTCATTAGTTTTATTTTTCTAAAAAAATTATTTAATAAAATAATATTAAAGGTGGAGATGGGGAAAGCGGAGAGAAAAAAAGAAAAAGAATAGGAGAGTCCCTTCACCCAGAAGACAGAGGGAGAACTTGACCTACGTTGTGTCACCCAAGCCCTGTTACCAATGAATAGACAACCCGTCAATTTTAGCCTGACAGTCATGATAAACTTAATTGGTCTTTTAATTAATGTCTCTAGACCACGACATATAACATTGGTGACCCATTTACAATTCTAAAAAAAAAAGCCAAAAGAAAAACTTTAATCTCTGAAAAAATGTGCATCTTATTAATTATATCATCATTATATTTCTTATGTAAGTCCCTTAATAATGAAAATTAAAGTTCTAATGCATTATTCATAATAATAATAATAATAATAATAAATGAAGTAGAGATATAATTAGAATACAATTATAAAAACTACCTAATATTTTATATTTTAGATCAAATATAATTTTTAGAAGACATCTTATATTATGATCTGAATGGGGATATCTACTTTTTTATTATTGTCTTCTTAAAAAAAATAACTGAATCATTAAAATCAATTTAGGCGTGATAAATATATTACAAATACAAATTTCTTTCCAATAATACGCTTATTTACGAAGCTGAGTAGTGAATTTTAATAATTAATTTCATTAATGCACAGCCAATTCCAAGCAAGGAAATGGAGGTAAAAAAGAAAAACTCCAATAAATGCTCAAAGACAAGAGGTTGTTGCCTTTTCAAAGTAGGAGACTAAAGAATCCGCCGACAAAAAGGATAGGAGGGAGAATCATTAATGCCATTTCAATCAATTATCAATTAATCTACTAATGATTAATTGTAAACATTCCTTTTCTCCGAGGATCTCACACACTTCCCCTTGCTTCACTGTGGGGCCTAGCCTGCTTCAAAGTTCACCTCAATCGTATCCTGATCGATATTTCCAGTCATCACAAAATGATTAAACACTTTAGCCAGGTAGCTTCACTGAGTTTCAAAATGTAATTAACTAGATTTGATGTCATATTTTCTCCCTTATTCACCACTAATGCATCTGCTTAATTAGAAGAGCCTTAATTGTCCGAAGATACTCCCTCTGGTCCTTTTTATGTGAAACTATTAGCAACTTTATGTAAATTAACGAAGGCTTTTAAAATTAGTTATTTCTGGTAAAAAATTAAAATTACCCTCAATAAAAAGTCATTAGTCAGAGGATTTTATTTAATTAGTTATAAAAATTTATAATTGGTTAGAAAAAATTAATACTTTTAGACCAAAAATGTTATCATAAAATATAGAGTAAAATACATTGACTTTCTGTCTATTTTATCTTAATTACATATGCATCCCCTTTGTTTTTAAAACTTATATGAACATCCTCTAAAACCAAAATAGTTAGAAAACACATACTTTCCTTTTACTAAGTCACTTCCATTGAACTATTAATTGATTGTTAAGTCACATGTGTTGAATTAAAAATACTCCTATTTAAATGTGGATGTTATCTAAAAATTATTCTCAAGTTACCACAAATATTTAACTTATACTTTTTATCCTTTTTAGTCATGTTTTAATTTTTTTAGTTATGCAAACTTATTTATTTAGTATTTTTTTAAATATTTAATATTTCAAACATTAAAAAAACCTTAATAACATGGAGATTTAATATAATCAGATATGAGTTAGTCAATATACTTTATATTTACTTTTATAATTTTAAAATAGTATTTTGATTATTAATTTAAATATTGTTGTACTTAATTAGTTGGGAAAGAGGATAAACAACTAGATTATAAAGGTAAATTAAAGTTTGGACGGATCGTGATAACATTCCCAGATTTTTCAAAATTCTCGGGTGGTAGAATAAAAAAATAATGGTAAATTAACAATTTTAAATTTTCTAATATAATTATAAATAAAAATTAAATATTTTAGAATATTTCTAACAGTTGGACTACCATATAAATTTTGAAAATAAAGAGAAAGTTGCTGTAATTTTAATAAAATGAAAGGAAGGTTGGTGCATTTTATTTTTTAAAAAAATATGCTGAGTAAGGGCCAGGATAGTTCTATGTAGCTTGTATGCTATTGTTTTGTCCACAGCATCTCGTTTTATGGACAAAACTGACACGTCAATGACTCGGATAAAGTTGACGGCTATCGGTCCCGTTTTCATTATTAGCCAATTGCTAAGTTTCATAGTTGATTTGTTACGGCCCCAAAAACCACTGACAACTCCACATCCACACGTTGTAAATTGGGTTCATGCATTCAACTCACTGCAGTTAGTCCGTGAACATGTGTTAATTTGTTTAAATTTGATAGGAGGAATTACGTTGAAGTTTTATACATAAAAATTAATTATTATAAAATTTAGTAGCAATTAAATTGAGAAGATTGATAATAATTGTTAATTTTTTTAATTCAATTATCATTGAACTATATAATAATTAATTTTTTTTTGTAAAACTTGAATGTAATTTTTTTTTTAAATTTTAATTTGTTATATGTGGTAATCTATAGTCAAGTAAACCATCACATGAGTCAACCAGGTTGATAAATCTTATTCCCACTTTCATCTTCCATGTTATAAAAGAATAATTTATTTTATTTTAAATTTTTATCATAAATTTCTCCTCTTACCTTAATTAAGTGTTGATATAAAAAATATGTTATTAAAACATATATTTAATAGGGCGAGGTTAGAAATTTATTACATTTTAAAATAAAGTTAATAATTTTTAAGATTTTTTAATTATAATAAAATATGTTGGAAGTAACTTATAAATAAAATTATGAAAAATACAACGCATAAAAATAGAAGATAATGACAAAAAAAATAAAATTTAAATAATAAGAGAACAAAACACAATCCTTACAGCTAATTAGATAAAACAGACAAAACAAATGATCATTCACAAAGAAAAAACGAGTTGTTAAAACCATAAATCTTGCGATAAAACAAAGACAATGAATCTCAATAACATAAGATACGCCAAATTAAAAGATAAAAACTGTTAACTTCTTTCCATTGATTTTCTTGAAGCTAGGGGCATGCAAAGAATCACGGCAAATATATTACTGTTTTTTTTTTTTTTTTGTCCAGCCAAATATATTGGCACTAATTAAGATTAGCCACATTATTAACCACACCAGAGAGGATATAATATCATTATGCCTCTCCTAGTGCTTGAAAATTATATGATAAAGCAGGCTCAACTCTGCGAAGTATCCTTATATAACGACGTGTTCTTAACTTATCATTCACATCCAACCTAGAAACGAAATAAGGAGGAGCCCTCTGCTCCTTAATTGCAATGGAACACCCCAAGTCATTCCAATGCCTTATTCTCCTCATCTCTTTCATATTTTCAGCCTATTTGACTGCAACACAATCTTCAGTCATTCCAAGGTTGAGCCCTATAGGGGACATACCTTTACACGACACTGCAGCCCTGACAGCAGATGATCCAGATACAGGGGACTTGAAAACTTTCTATTACCCACAGACCCTGGATCACTTCAACTACAGGCCAGAAAGCTACACAACATTTCCACAAAGATATGCGATCAATTCTAAGTACTGGGGTGGAGCCAATTCCAGTGCTCCCATATTTGCGTACTTTGGCGCAGAAGGGCCCATAGATGGTGCCCTTAATGGCTCCATTGGATTTCTCAATGATAACGCCCCTTCCTTTAAGGCTCTCATAGTTTATATAGAGGTACTACAGTGGCACATTCCCTCTATTTTTTTTTAAAACTGATATTCAGTAATACACTGATTCCAAGGTCTAGCATGTGATTTTTTTTTTTCTTTTTCCTTTTCGGATCAGCACCGGTACTATGGGAAATCGGTTCCATTTGGATCCTTGGAAGAAGCTATGAAGAATGCAGAAAATAGAGGGTATTTCAGCTCTGCTCAAGCTATTGCAGATTATGCAGAAATCATCAGACATATAAAGTATAAACAGCTGAATGCCCTGAAGTCTCCAGTGATTGTTATTGGGGGATCATATGGTGGAAGTAAGCTCCTCAAGTAACCTTAACAGTTTCTACATATATACACATACATACAGTAACAGAGCCAAGACCATCAATTAGAGAGACAAATTTTTTAAAAAATAATTTAAAAATTTTAAAAAATAATTTTTTATATCTATCATATTACTAGGCTTTGAATTAAAAGGTTAAAAAAATAAAATACGGGTGAAGAGAAAGAATTAAATGAATTTAATGTTCAAAATATATTAAAAAAAGAGATGCAAAATATGAAAAGAAGGAGATGTAAAATCTAAAATCTCATTAAATGAAGTTCATGGTCAAAATATATTGAAAAAAAAATGGAAAATATGAAAGGAAGGAGATGTAAAATCTAAAATCTCATAACAATAATTAGAAATTTTTTTCAAGTGAAGGGGCACATTCTCCCTTCACTGCATGCATATGCATACTGCCATTTGCTGTTGAGTTAATACATTATTGTTCTGCAGTGCTTGCTGCATGGTTTAGACTCAAATATCCCCAGATGGCTCTCGGTGCACTTGCCTCATCAGCTCCAGTTCTCTATTTTGAAAAGATTACACCATCGGACTGTTACTATTCTGTTGTCACGGGGGATTTTCAAGTAACATACCATGGTTTAATTTTCTGATCTGACCTCGCAAATTTTCACATCAAAATGCATTAAAAAGAAGCTTCAATGATGAACTGATATGTATCTATGCAGGAAGCAAGTGAGAGTTGTTATGAAACCATCCTCGAGTCCTGGTCTGAAATTGACAGAGTAGCTTCTGAGCCAGATGGCCTTTCCATCCTTAGTGAGAGATTCAACACTTGCCGGTACACTACGTCATCATCCTTAAGCTTTGAGTCCATTAACTCACTTCCTGATTAATTATTGCACTGGAACATTTTTGTAGTCCTCTGAGATCACCTTCTGAGTTGAAAGACTACCTGGAGACGATGTATACTTCTGCAGCTCAATATAACCGACCACCGTCTTATCCAGTTACTGTGATTTGTGGCGGCATTGATGGAGCCTCTTTTGGAAGTGATATTCTCAGTAAGATATATGCAGGTGTAGTGGCGTATGAGGGTAACGGTACGTGCAAAGTCAATGGCCCTATCAATTCGAATGTGACTGCTGACGGTTGGAGCTGGCAGGTTAGGTAGCTTACAAGGTTATCACAACTTGGCATTTTCATACGCTCTCTCTTTCAAATGCTTAACTGTCTAATTTAGCAATGGCACTATATATGATAAACACAATATAACTAACGAAATGCAGTAACTTCCAAAATATGTGTTCAATCCCACAAAAAAAGTTGAATTTCAACTAATATAAAACTAAACTTGCTGAAAGTACACAGCTAAGTCTAAATCTGTATATTAAACCACAATAGCCAAGGTTTAGATCCTTGTTACTAAATTAAAGCGTGGCTTACGTTGGCTTGGTTAGCTGCAGCTAGCAATGAGTGCTTTTGATGGTCTGTTTTAAACCTAAGACATTTATCCTAATATTTCCACCCTCTTTTACCATTTGAGCTTAAATTTGGAATGACTAATTAATTATGATGGATGAGAAATCATGTGCATATATAAATATTTACATCCTTAGAATGATATGAGACTGTTCTTCACTTGTAGACATGTAGTGAGATGGTGATCCCTTTAGGGCGTGGAAATGATACAATGTTTCCACCTGCCCTTTTCCATATCAAGAGCTTTATGAGGGATTGCAAAGAGACATATGGTGTCCTTCCTCGGCCTCATTGGGTCACTACTTACTATGGAGGCCACGTAAGTTCTTGTGTTGTTCTCTTTGTTAACATTCATGTAGACTCGTTCTCATTAAGATGTACTGTTTACTACATGTATGACGTTAAATTGCTTCCTTTTGTGAGGTATGAAAGCTTCGTTTTTCGTTTTGACCGTTGGCACAGCATATCAAATTGGTCCTTCAAAGGTTTGGGAGCAACATCATTTTCTCAAATGGGCTCAGAGATCCATTTAGTTGCGGGGGGTAAGCAACCTAAAACCCAAAATTTTCTACTATCTCGATGTTCAGAGCGATAATTAAAAACTGCATCGTGTAAATCTGGGGGGTGTGTGTGTGTATTTTCAGGGTTCTGGACAACATATCGGACAGTATCGTTGCCATCACTACAGTCAACGGTATTCTCTAATTAATTAATTAATTAATTACATCACAGTCAAGGATCTCCAATTTCCTAACGTTTTCTTTTCGAACAATCAAACACTATCTTGTATGAAGGACCAAGAGAAATACAGAGAGAAGAAGGAACACTAGGTTAACTTCTGATCGGAAACGTTGATTTTTCAGGATCTCACTGCTTGGATATTCTGCCTGCTGCTGCAAAGCCAGGCGATGATCCAGAGTGGCTTGTCAAACAAAGAGAGGAAGAGCTCCAGATAATTCAAGGGTGGCTCGAACAGTACTATGCCGATCTTCGCCCGCTCAAAGTCTACTAAATGTGCCGCAGAAAATTATTGGAGCCAAAATTGATGCATTAAAATTGCATTATTTTAATAAAAAATGCCCCTAATATCTGTAACATCAACAATAATTGTCCTCTCAATTCAATAACAACGCGAACCCCCTTGTGAAAAGGAGATTGTGGGTTCTATATGAATTTGGTGAGTGTTTCAGTGGTCCCTGTGTGTTGTCTTTTTCGGTAAAAAATGGGCTGCTCTTTCTTATAAGCGAATGAATAAATATGTAACTTTGTATGAGTGTTTGTATTTTATCCTTTTTAAATAAAACAATTATTGTTGATGATTTACTAGTTGAGGTGTATTGCACTATTGCCCCTTAATTCTTATCTTTGACTATCTATGTTTCAATGCTTCTAATTACGGCAAAAAAAAAAGGGGGGGGGGGGGCATAGAGCGAGCTTTCATATTATCCGGAAAAGACTGATATAAGTATATCTAATTTTAGATGTTTCCGTTATAACGGTTCAGTTATTTCTTTTTTTGTCCCCCTTGAGCATAAGTTATTTTTAAAATTAAAGTATTTGAAGTTAAATTATAAAAAGTCTCCTGCATTTTAATACAAGAATATTAAAATTTGTCCCCAGAGTCCAAATAATTTTAGTAAAGTTCTATATTAAAATTGAAGTGGCAATATATCCGGTTTTATTACAATATATCGAATTTCATTGAAATTAATTAAATCAATAAAAAAATTGGCTGGAAGAAGAGTTCTATTCATTTACAAATTAAAAGATACTCCATCTGGTTCTATTTAATAATTTTTAATAAAAACAAAATGATAAAAATAAATATAAAAAATAATGAAGGGTCCTGTAAGTAGGATCAAAATTAATTTTCTCTTTTTACCTTATAAATAGGAACAAAGGAGTAAGATAACTAGTTATTATAGAATAGGATCTCCCACAATTTAGACGAATCCCTACAGAGGATGCAATAATTTTAATTTTCTTAAGAGATTAAAGAAATGACCGTTTTAAATGTAAGAATAAAAATTTTAATTAAAATTACAAAGAATTATTGATTTATAAATGAATTATATATATATATATATATTTCTTTTTTTTAATTGGGCACATGAATCTTGCACTAAATGTGAGTGAGGATTCAAATCTCAATTGAATTAACCTTTTCAATTAGACTCAACTCAAAAAAAAATTTCAACTACACCATGCAACATAATTAATGCGTGCAATGTTTAAAGTTGCTTTGATGTGGGTCAGCTGCATCGTTATTGTGGATATATACTCGCGAGGTTACTTAATAATGTATCTAAGTAATGAAGGAGATCGATGAGCCGCGACCTGAAAGGACTCAAGTGTGAGCATGGAAGCCAAGTCAACGACAAGGGGAATAGGAAGATGTTGTATATGTTTTGAGCCCTTCTCTATACAGAAAATATGTGTCATTGTTTTCTTTTGCTGCCATGCGTATCATCACACTTGCTGTCTAATGGATTCTGCCTACAGTAATGGTTACAAGAAAGAGGTCGAAGCACCTCCTTAAGGGGCCGAAACATGTGATGTTTGTATTTCCACCTCCTATCTATAAGATGATGTCTCTATAATCATTTCATGGTTCATAATATATAAGATTTTCCAGAATTTGGTGAAAGATTCATGACATATTTCTCAAAATATAATGCTCTCTTCACGCAACCAACTCCCAGTCTTATATGCTTTAAACAAAATAAGCCCTCAATTTATTTGGAGTAGGGAGTGATTAATATTATAATAAAGGTTAATGACTTAAACTAGTGATTGTTTTGAAATGTTTTGATAATTTTTTTTAAAAAAATTGGATCCATTAATTAATTTTAACCGCTTTTCTTAAACTATTTAATCAACTGGTAAGTATCCTGTGAAAATAATTTTTTAGTATAAGTCATAAATAAATTATTATTATTATTATTATTATTATTATTAATGTGTGAAAAAATAAAATATAATTTAATATTTTTTAAGAATTAATTAAACAGCCTCAACCCCAAAGCATAAAGTCATGGAAATAAAGTGAATTTTTTGCAGCTCAACCCATTCTTCCTATAAGAATAACCATCCTCCAAGTCAATTTTTAACTTTTAAAAATAAAAATAAGATGATTGGAAGCTAAGATAATTGATAAGAGAATGGTAGGGATGACCAGTGAGGAATCAGGGAAAAAGAAAATTAAGATAAAAAAGTTGAAGATATAATTTCTATATAATTCAGTTAAAAAAACACAAATATAATTTACTGAAGGGCATAAAATGAAAATGAAATATAACGAAAACATTTTATCAATCATGACCGCACATATATAAGGGTTCATATAAACTAGAAAAAAATTTAACATTTTGTTTTAGCAAATAATATTGTCATTTATCTTAATCACAAAATGTGAAAAATCCAACATCAACTGAGAACTATGAATTGTCTTTAATTAAAGTGTCCATGCATACTACAAAACTTAATTAAAAAGAAAATCCAGAGAGCGAGAGAGAGCCCCAATAATCCAAAAGCAAGTTAAATTAGAATACCAAAATTTGTAGAGAAGATTTGCAAGGAAATTTTTATGCCTACAAATTGTGATAATGGCTGTAGATTAAAATAAGATAACTTATAGAATGATAAAAAAGACCTCAAGAGGCAATCAACATATAAATTTAAGGAAAAAAAATAAGTGAAATGTATAATAGAGGAATATTGAAAATCAATAAAATATTTTTTAACATAATGCACATGGGTTAGTAAAAAGGATTGCATCATTTATGCAAAAAAAGAATCTGTAGGCATCAAGGCCTCTTCTACTATAAGAAGCACATCTTCCTACAATATATAGATATGAAGGAAGATAAATTCTCAATACTCTTTATCAATGCATTCAAAAAAACTATTAAAAAAATGAAAATATTAATAGCTAAATCTATCACTAATAAGCAAAATTCATCACTAATTTTAGCTTTAGTAGCGAATCGTCCATCACTAATTTTTATCACAAATACAACGTTATTAATTTAGTGACCAAAACGAATATGTTACTATTAGTAACAGAAAATATCTATCACTAATTAACAAACTTTTGTCATTACTTTATTTTATAATTAAAAATTTTTTATGAGTTAAATCACTATCATGTCACCTCCCATGCTATCTTACAAGTACACATTACTTGCCACTCACCATGCCATAGTCAATTAGACTTTCATGACTCGTTACCATCATGTCAACAATCTATTTTAATTCTCTTTAAATGTGTAACAATCTATTTTAATTCTCTTTAAATGTGACATTGCCTCATCTTGAACATAAAAATTTTTCTCTTTTCATATGTGCCTTTGCCAGTTGAGCTGTGATGGCTTTTCATTATTAATATGCAAAATTTAATATATATATAATATATATATATATTTACTTAATCAACACATATATATAACTTAAATGTATTTTATATATTTAATATATTATTATTTAAATATGTTGATAATATATAGTATCACATACACACATAACACATGCGTATATAATTCAATATTTATTATTTAATAAATATATTATTTAATACCAAATAATATATATTATGAAAATAAATATTTGTAAATATCATTTTATATTATCTATGTTATAATTAAAATATTTTCATATGGTAAAAATTTTATTTTATATTTAAATTTACATAATAAAATAAAAAATAATTTTGTTTGTTATATAATTTTATATTATATATTTTACTTATAACAAGAGAAAAATTATTTATGAAATTATTTAATGTGATAATTTTGAAATTTTTTTATGTGAACCTCTCTATGCATGCTATAAATTGCTTATTTTTATAAAATATTTGAGCTCATTTTTAAAATATTTTCAATTAAAATATTTCTCACTAATATAAAGATTTAATGACAGATTTAAATTGGTTACTAAATTTATAAAATTTAACCAAAATGTGATGACATCTTATATCCGTCCCTAATTTTAATTTTTTTATATCCGTCCCTAATTTTAATTTTTTTAGTAGTGAAAAAAAAATCTACAAATAAAATGAATAATATAAGAATTTTAAAATAAAACTATCATAGAGAAATACTAGAGGAGATCATACATATTTCAACAACTTCATCAAGAAATTTTAATGTCCTTCACAAGTTGATAGTATATGACTTATATTTCTAACAATGCACTCACACGATGGGAGAGCAAATCCTATATGTTAGTTTACTTTTTGGTGGGGTCGCTTGAGATTGTATTGTGAATGAACAAAGAGTTGGTGATAATCCCCTCATGTTGATGCAATCATCTTCATGTGGCTGGAAAAGCATAGAGCAAAGCATGGGGGAGGCTACCATTGAAAAGAGAAATCATCATGATAGTTTAGAGAGACACAGAGGGGGACACATCTTGCAAATTGAGAGGTCATGGGGGAAGTTAAGATAGAATATGGAGGTTAACATGGGAAGCAATATGCAAAAACATAGATCTAAAAATTAGGGAAAGTCAAATTAAGGGGTAGTTATTAGAACAAGAAATTATTAAATAAATTAATTTCAACATAAATAATTATAAAATATGATACATCATTAATTTCAAAATACAAAATTAAAGAGAATATGATATGATATTAGATAATAGAGATCATGGGATATGGAAGTAATTCATGATTGAAAAGTTTTGCATCTAAATCTAAATTTTATAAATTTAAAATTTAAAATATTTAAAGTAATAGTTATTAAAGGGATAGTTATTAGAATGAAAAAAATCTATTATAATAATCAAACAATAAATTTAAATGTAAATAATTGTAAAGTAAGATACATCACAATTTTGAAATACAAAAATAAAGGAGTAATGATATTAGAGAATAGAGATCATAGAAAATGAAAGTTATTCATAATTTAAAATTTTCATACTTAAATCTAATTCAATTTTTTCAGATCATGGGCAGTTTCTTTTTTCCGTATTTCATTAAGAATAAAAGATGAGTGATATAGAATTTTGTATTAAAAATTTAAAATTTTATAACAAGAAAAAGTGATATGGAAGTTTGGATAATAAAAATAATGAGAGAGAAAAGTTAAGAAATAAATGAGGAAATTAATAAAGGAGTTAAGAGAATGGAAGTTACAATTATAATAATGGATGTAATGGAAGTGAGAATTAAGAAATAAAATATAAATATAAATTAAAATTAATTTCTTAAATCGATCTTACATGGCTTCATGAAATAGCATATTTTAAAAAATAGGAACACATCATTCATAGATATAGGCTTGTTTATATATATATAATATATATTTGGTTAAAAGGATTTATTATATTACTAACACAAGTGTTTTCTTTGAATGCGCGACGATTTTAGAGGGAAAAAAGTATAATTACGTCGAAATAGTTTTTATTATAATTATATTAATTTATTTTATTAGAAATACAACAGAAACGTTAAAATATATCTCTATTACATCTAGATATTTTTGAGTAAAATCTTGTGAGTATACATTTCACGCGCCAAATAGCTGCCTCATAAGTATGAAGGGCGACTTTTGCAGGTTCCACCACATGCGTGGTGAGGTGATCATTGATTTCCATACAATTATTGAAAAGAACCAAATGAGGGGAATTACAATGCTGTGGTTGTGGCTTGAAATACCGAAAGAATGATGGGATGGGAATGAATGCGAAATATGGGCACCAAAATTATTCTTGTGGACAGCCATCTCACAATCACAAATTTGACTCCTCACTCGGGTTCAATTAACCGAATCATTAACATTAATTTGTATTCAATAAATATATTGTAAATGCATATTCTTTTCAATAATTCCCTTGTTTATGAAGCAAACTAGTGAATTTCAAGGAATGAAATTGAGGGGTAAAAAAGAAAAACCCTGACGAATATTCAAGACAATAGATTGTTGTCTCTTTAAAGTAGAAGACTAAGAGAATCCTCCTACAATTCTCTTGTAAAAAGGATGGGAGGGAGCATCATTTACGACATGTTTTACCATTTCAATCAAAATCAATCTACTAATGATTTGTAAACATTCCTTTCAGTGAGAATCTCACACACTTCCCTTTGCTTCACGTTGAATCCATTACTTGATAGCTTCCCAACTTTTTGGCATGCGACTTTTCTTGGGGAACGGCTATGTATCTATCTTCTTCAAACTCCACCTCAATCATATCCTGATCCATATTTCTAATCATTTCAAATGAGCAACAATAACATATCCTTTCTCCCAAAAAAAAAAAAAACGCTTTGACCAGGCATTTTCACCAAGTTTCAAATTGTAATTAACTAGCTTTGATATAATATTTTCTCCTTATTCACTGCTAATGCATCTAATAAGAAGAACACTAATTGTTGAAAGATACTCCTCTGATCCTTTTTATAAAAATAAATAATACTTTATGTAAATTAATGGAGTTAGTTAAAATTAATTATTTCTTGTAAAATTTTAAAATCATCCTCAATAAAAGTTATTAGTTAAAGGAGTGTTTATTTGCTAAAAAAAAAAAGTGTTTAATTTGTTAGGGATACTGTGTGGAAAAAAATTAATTAAAGGACGGGGTAGTACCATGTGGCTTGCATTCTATCGTTTTGTCCTAAGCATCTCATTTTTTTTAGTCAAAACTGAAATGCAAATGGCTGAAGATAAAATTGACGGCTGAAAAAACTTTATCCACAGTTTCATTAGGGTGATTTTATCCGTCGCGCTTTCATTAATCAATTAACTTCCATAGTTGATTTGTTATATGGACCCAAATACCACTGACTGCTCGATAATCACCAAACTAGTCAGATTCATGAATTATTTAATCGTTGCCAACCGCCACTTATTTTGTCTAGTAAAAAAAAAATGTTCCAATATTATTCCTTCATTTCAAGAGATTTTTTAACAAAAATTCTAATATAAATGTAACTCACTCACTATCCTTTTAGTTTTTGTTTACCTATTTTCTTTCTTTAATTCATTTACTCTTTTAAATTATCAAATCAGCCTACTTGACCGCAGATTTTTTCTGTGTACATATAATTATAGTATTTTTACATCATTATACTATATAGTTGTGATTTTTTTTTTCATCATTATATAAATAAATCCTTAGCCCTTATTTATGGCCATAGTTAGCAACATCGTTTTGAATAGTTATTTACTACTAATCTTTTATAAGTGAGTCTCGATTTTGTCCTCAATTAAGCATGCTATATATGTGCTTAATTTTAATTTTGGTTTCTTCTAGTGGATTAGTCAAGTCAACCCACACAACTAACTCTATAAATCGGGTTCATACATTTAAATCACTTAGCAAGTAGGTCAAAATGCCTTATTTTGTTTTGTAGATCAAAATGTGTTAATTTGTTTAAATTATGATTAGTTAAATGTGAAAAAGCCCCATCAAATAAATCACTACATGATGAATCAACAAGAATTGAATTTAGCATAAAGAATTAGTCTTCAAAACATGACAAGTTGTTTAAATTCTCGATAAAAGAGACACATACATCTAATACTTAATATTTAGCATAAAAGTAACTCTATGCATTGAAATAGAAGATAGTGAAATAAAAAATTTAAACTTTAAGATAACATAAAACAATCCCAATAACTAATTGGATAAAACAGATAATTATTTAAAAAAAAGATTGTTAAAACCGTAAATCTTGTAGAACAACAAAAACTGTGAATCTCAACAAATTAAAAATAAAATAAGATACGTCAAATTAAAAGATAAAAAGTATTAATATCTCTAATGATTTTCTTGAAGCTAAGGGACGTGCAAAAAAAAATCACGGCAAATGCATTACTAAGAAGACTGGCCGCATTAACGAGCCAATTATATGATAAGCACGGCTCAACTCAGCGGAAGTCCTCATATAACGACGTGTTCTTCTTATTCACATCCAACATAGAAACAAAACAACAAGGAGCCCTTCTGCTCCTTAATTGCAATGGAACACCCCTCGTCATTTCAATGCCTTCTGCTCATCTCTTTCATATTTTCATCCTATTTGACTGCAACGCAATCTTCAATAACTCCAAGGTTGAGCCCTATAGGGGATATAACTTTACACGACACTGCAGCCCTGACAGCAGATGATACAGATACAGGGGACTTGAAAACTTTCTATTACAAACAGACCCTGGATCACTTCAACTACAGGCCAGAAAGCTACACAACATTTCCGCAAAGATATCTGATCAATTTCAAGTACTGGGGTGGAGCCAATTCCAGTGCTCCCATATTTGCTTACTTTGGCGCAGAAGAACCCATAGATGATGACCTTAAGGTCATTGGATTTCTCAATGATAACGCCCCTTCCTTCAAGGCTCTCATAGTTTATATAGAGGTACTCCAGTGGCACATACCCTCTGTTTTTTTAACTGATATTCAGTAATCCACTGATTCAAAGGTATAGCATATGATTTTTTTTCCTTTTCCTTTCGAATCAGCACCGGTACTATGGCAAATCAGTTCCGTTTGGATCCAGGGAAGAAGCTTTGAAGAATGCAAAAAATAGAGGGTATTTCAACTCTGCTCAAGCTATTGCAGATTATGCAGCAGTCCTCTTACATATAAAGAAGAAACTGAAGGCACAGAAGTCCCCAGTGGTTGTTATTGGAGGATCATATGGTGGAAGTAAGCACCTCAAGTTGCCTGAAAAGTTCTCTACATACATACATATACTGCCATTTGCTTCTGAGTCAATAAATTATTGTTCTGCAGTGCTTGCTTCATGGTTTAGACTCAAATATCCCCATGTGGCTCTCGGTGCGCTTGCCTCATCAGCTCCAATTCTCTATTTTGATAACATTACACCATCAAATGGTTACTATTCTGTTGTCACGAGGGATTTTCAAGTAATATACCATGCTTTTCTGCTTCGACCCTGCAAATTTTCACATCAAATGCATTAAAAAGAAGCTTCAATGATGATCTGATATGTATCTATTCAGGAAGCAAGTGAGACTTGCTATGAAAATATCCTCAAGTCCTGGTCTGAAATTGACAGAGCAGCTTCTGAGCCAGATGGCCTTTCCATCCTTAGTGAGAGATTCAACACTTGCAGGTACAAACACTACGTCATTATCTTTAAGCTTTTAGTCCATTAGCTCACTTCCTGATTAATTACACTGGAACATTTTGGTAGTCCTCTGAACTCATCTTCTGAGTTGAAAGACTACCTGGAGACGATGTATGCTTCTGCAGCTCAATATAATCGACCACCAAGGTACCCAGTTACTGTGATCTGTGGCGGCATTGATGGAGCCTCTTTTGGAAGTGATATTCTCAATAAGATATATGCAGGTGTAGTGGCGTACAAGGGTAACGGTACATGTAAAGTCAATGGCCCTATCAACACAACTGAGACTGCTGTCGGTTGGAGATGGCAGGTTATGTCGTTTTCAAAGTTTTCACAACTTGGCATTTTCATACGCTTTCCCTTCCAAATGCTTAACTGTCTCGTTTAGCAATAGCATTCTATATGATAACACAATATAACTAACGAAATGCAGTAACTTCCAAAATTTGTTCATTCCCACAAAAAGTTGAATTTCAATTAATAAAACCGAACTTCCTGAAAGTACACAGCCAAGGCTATACCACAATAGCTAAGGTTTAGATCCTTCTTACTAAATTGAAGTGTGGCTTGCAGCTCAGTTGCTTCTATGAGTGCTTTTGGTCTATTTTAAACCTCAGATCTCTATCCTAATATTTCCCCACTCTTTTATCATTTGAGCTTACATTTGGAATGACGAATTAATTATGATGGATGAGAAATCATGCGCACAAATATTTACATTAGCCTTAAAATGATACGAGACTGTTCTTTACTTACAGAGATGTAGTGAGATGGTAATACCTATAGGGCGTGGAAATGATACAATGTTTCCACCAAGCCCTTTCAATCTCAAAAGCTATGTGAGGGATTGCAAGAAGGCATACGATGTTGCACCTCGGCCTCATTGGGTCACTACTTACTATGGAGGCCACGTAAGTTCTTGTGCTGTTCTGTTTGCTAACATCCATGTAGACTCGTTCTTAACGTGTTTTCTATATGTATGGCTTTAAAATGCTTCCAGTTGTGAGATATTGACCCCCTATGAAAGCTTCGTTTTTTGTTGTGGCTATTGGCACAGCATATCAAATTGGTCCTTCAAAGGTTTGGGAGCAACATCATTTTCTCAAATGGGCTCAGAGATCCATATAGTAGCGGAGGGTAAGCACCTTAAAATTCAAAAACTTTACTATCGCGATGTTTAGACCGATGATTAGCAACAGCATCGTGTGAATCTGGTGTATATTTTCAGGGTTCTGGACAACATATCGGACAGTATCGTTGCCGTCCATACAGTCAACGGTATTCTCTTAAGTAATTACATCATATTCAAGGATCTCCAGTGTTCTATCATTTCTGTTCGACCTATCAAACAGTATATTGTATAAAACATCAAGAGAAAGACAGAGAAAAAGGAACACTAGGGTACCTTTTGATCGGAAGAATTGACTTTTCAGGATCTCATTGCTTGGATATTCTGCGCGCAATGCCGAGCGATCCAAAGTGGTTAGTCAACCAACGAGAGGAAGAAGTCCAGATAATTGAAGGATGGATCACACAGTACTATGCAGATCTTCGCGCGCTGAAGGTGTATTAAATTTGCCACAGAAAATTATTGGCGCGAAAAATTATGCGTTAAAATTGCATTATATTAATGGAAAAATGCTCGTTGTAGCCGTAAAATCAACAATAATTGTCGATGATATACGATTTGAGGTACATTGCTCCTTTGTTCTTATCTGAGTGTCTGTTTCTGTGCTTCTAACCGGCCAAAAAAAAAAAGGCCGAGTAGGTATCGAGCATTTATAGTATCTCGAGAAAACAAAAATGAAATAAATATCTAATTTTAGAAGCTTCTGTGATAACGGTTCAGTTTTTTCCCCCTGAGGATAAGTTATTTTTAAAATTAAAGGATTTGAAGTTAATTAGAAAAAGTCTCCTGTATTTTAACACGAATATTTAAGTTTGTCCATAGGGTCCAAATAATATTATTAAAGTTCCATATTAAGATTGAAGATTTGAAGGAGTAATATGTCCGTTTTTATTACAACATACTCCCTATGATATTATTTATAATACACCTTTTAAAAATAATTTTTAATTTAAAATATTGAACAAACATCTTGTAATAACTAAATAAATTTTTTTAATTTTATCCCTAGATTAGTGTAAAAGTATTTAATATACTTATATTATTATTTAAAATCAAAGATAAAAATGAAAGTACCATTTGCTTTTTTATAATATCAAAAAAATTAACTTTTTTTAATATGTATAAAATAATTGAAAGTATCTCTTAATGAGGATAGAAGGGAGTATTAATTTTCATTGAAATTGATAATTGAAAACATTTTAATTTGAAGAAGAGTTCAATTTGTTTATACAAACAAAAAATAATAATAATAAGATAACGAGTTATTGTAGAATGGAATCTCTCGCAATTCGGAGTTTGTGCGCATACCTATGGAGGATGCAGTAATTTTTCTTGAGAAATTAAAGAAATGACATAATTATAGATCACAAATTTTAATTTCAATCAGAAAATAATATTACTTTAAAGAAATTAATTAAACATTCAGAAATTTTAACTGTACCATACAATTAAAGCGTCCAGTCCTTGAAGATAAAATAAAGTAATCCACCACCATGACACCGCATTTGTCTCAAAATCTGCAGTTTTAAAACATTCCTTATTCTGGGGGAAAAAGGAAAGAACGAAAGAAATATTCCTTATTGAGTGTTTGTGCATTTGGATTTCTTGCCCGCGGTTTCTTAGGAAAAAAAATGTCTTTTTAAAGAAAATCAATAAAAAAAAGGGTATATCAGTTTTCATGCTAACTTATTGAAATATGTCAAGTCTAGACAACATAAAGAAAAAGATTCTTAAAACTAAAACTTCATTGCAAATGAAGGGCAGTGAAATGAAATTAAAATGTCGAGGAAAATTTAAAAAAAAAAAAAAAACTTCTAGGGTCATAGCAAAACACACACAACACAAACGCACGAGGCTTGAGCTTCCGATGGGAGCGAGTCCTACTCGAGTGTCAAGTGTAGAAGGTGGATGGAACGAAAATTTTGGAGAGACCGTAGGTGTAGGAGTAGGTGACTCAAAAGCCTCAGTTCCGTTTAAACATGGGGCAAAGGATGGAGCAAGGAGAAGCAATGCCAGCGATGTTGACATGGACTATATGAGTGAGAGAAAGGGTTGCATGGTTTGGTGGGGCGTTAACAATGGAGTTGAGCACTATCGGTGTTGCACAGAAATGAGTCACTTTGTGCTCCGCAAACACTGCACATATTGCCTTCGTTGTCACCTGTATGCATTAGATTTTTAGGCGACTAAACAAATCAACAAGTCCGATTGTATAAATGAACAACTCATTTAGGGTTTATTTGCAAATGCAGTTAACAAGAAAAAAAAACCCAATTTTAAATTTTAACAAGTGAAGGTAGGGCTATAAATAAATTATGTAGAGAAATGAATAATTTCTATAGGGAAATAAATAATTTCAGTAACTTTATTTATCATGATAACAACAGTTTGAATAAAAGCAAATGAAACTAAGTGCACTAACAGCTTCTGTAGAAAAATTAACCACTTCAATATAAAAAATAAACAATTTCAATATGGAAATTTTAGAACTTTGCTTACCGTGATAACAACAATTTGAATAAAAGCAAGTAAAACTATGTGCACCAATAACTCCTGTAGAAAAATTAACCATTTCAATATAGGAAATGAACAATTTCAGTATGAAAAATTTGTAACTTCAGTTACCATGATAACAACAATTTGAATAAAAACAAGTAAAGCTATAATCACCAACAACTCATGTAAAGGAATTAACCACTTTAGTATGAAAAATAAATAACTTTATTATGAAAAATTTGCAACTCATTTTATCATGATAATAGCACTAAGAATAAAATCGAGTAAAGCTACGTGCATCAACAACTTATGTATGAAAATTTATCACTTCAGTATGAAAAATGAATAACTTCAGTATGGGAAATTTGAAACTTAGTTTACCATGATAACAATTAAGAATAAAATCAAGTGATGTTATGCGCATCAACAACTCTTGTAGAAAAATTAACAATTTTAGTATGTGAAATGAATAACTTCAACAAATTTGCAACTCTTTTTACTACGACAACAACACTAAGAATAAATTCATGTGAAGCTCTACATATCAATAACTCCTATAAGAAAATTAACCATTTCATTATGGGAAATAAATTGCTCTTGTAGGAGAAATTTGCAAGTATCTTTTAATAGGCTTAAGCCACTCCCATAAGAAATAAATCACACTAGTTAAATGAACAGTTGCAATATGTGAAATAACAACTAGGGTAGTGAAAATGAATAGCTTGAGCTTGGCAAATGAACAACTCATGTACAGCTTTGCAAATTAACAATTTATATTAATAAACTATCATTTACATTAGCATCAAATAATTTCATACTAGTATTTCATCAAATCTATAAACAAGTACCCACATAAAATCTTTTCTCATATAAATAAACCACTTTACAAAAGGTATCTCATACTAAGAAACTCTATTTACAAAGATCTACATATATTAGTAAACCCCCTCTTACAAAATGCAACCTATGCACACAAAAAAAAAAGGGTTGTGAGGATGCACTTATATATAAATTCTAAGGCATTGCTATGAGAAAATGTATGTGTAATATCCTAAATTTTAATTCCTAAATTAAGTTAAATTAACCAAGGGTAATTAGGAGTGTTAAATAAAGTAATAATGGAATAGGAGTAACATGATGTAAGATTTGAATTTGAGGAAGAATTTGAGTTTCTATTCATAACGATTCATAGATGTGACCCAATAAGAGAATATCGCTTGCGGTTGAGCATCTATGGAATAGGAGTATGATCTCTATTCACAACTGTCCCCAATTAAGTCCTTCACTGAAGATAACTAGTTGTGATTGTGGACATAAAGATAAATTTGGATTAGTGCCTTTGACCATGACCAGACATGATTATAATATGCATAGCCATCCACGTTCAACACATCATAAAAGCTTTTTGAGTAGCAGAAAAATGCCAAACAGAGAGAAAAGAGAGGAATTTAAAGGAGCAATGAGGGGGCTATGCTAAGGCACAATATTTTCAACTATTTGTGGTGTTTTAGGGATTAGAATCACTTAAGGTAGGTTCCCCCATCCTTTATCTTCCCTTCTGGTTCCATTTTAAGGTTAGTGTTTCTAAGTTTTTCTTCAATTCGATCATTTGGTTGATTTTTGAGTAATGGGATGTTTATGGTCAAATTTATGAATCAAATTGTTGGAAGTTATTTTTTGCTCCTAGAACAATAGGTACCAGTGATTTGGTCATTAGATCTAAATTTATATAATTTAAACAAACCCTAGACATTGCGAGGAATAATTTTTCATTCTTGGAAGATATATTAGTGAATATTTTAGTTGTTAAGGGTTAAATGAAGTTAATATAAGTTAATGAACTGATTGGATATGAAATTTCACTTGTAGTTGAAAAAATTGGTTATTAAATTGTGATATTTAAAAGTTGGAAATGTTGATTTTGATTATTATTAGTAATAAGGGTTAATGTTATGTGTAAACTAATCTCATGAAGCATCAAAGAGCTTGTATTAGCTTGAAAGCAAGTGATAATCATAGGCAACCTTTAAGTTCTCAAAGGTTTGAGGTGATTGAGAGAAATCTATTTCATATTATTGGTTGTTAAGTAATTACAGGTGTTTGTGAATTTGGAATTATGTTTTATATAGTTATAAATATATGAAATTATTTATTATTTCTATTTGAATATATGCAAGTGGGACTTTGTTTATCAATTTGATTGTTAAATGTTAAAAATGATGATTTAAATAATGATAAGTATGAACTTGCTGATGATGTTGTGATTTGCAATGTGAATTGGCACGAGTATTGATTACATGATCATATTATTGGCATAAGTTCACCTTAATAGGAGATTAGTGATTAGGATCCACATAGATTATACTAGTACTTTAAGGGCTCAATGTTTGGTTCTTAATTATTCCATTAAACTCTACCTAGCAAAGGTGGTAACAGGGCTTGCCTTTAAACCTCAACTAGTGAGGTTGGTAATAGAGTTTTGTGACACCCGATGTTTGAGATGGGGGAATCCATGATCTAAGATTGAATATGAAACCTTAACCTGATTACCACTCTTGATTAGTAAGCTTAGACTAGCCCAATCACATGGATTTAGCTCTTATTTATTTGTAGCTCATGGATTCAGTCAATAGTGATGGAGGTTTGGTGGTTGGCGTTGATCAAGCAATGTGTTGATTTATATTAAATCATAATGAATTATTTTATAACTGCCCACTTTGCATGCCTATTACCGTTTGACCTAGACAAGCATGTTATATACTACATTAGTTATTGAGTAGCTGTACTTACCCTTTATTTAACATTTTACAAGCATTATCTAATGACTAGATAAGGGAAAAGCTTCTAAGGCTTATGATATTTTATTCTTACTGTAATGCCTCAAGTTACTTTTTAAATTACGTGTAATTAGCATGACATTGCCAACTAGAAACATTATTGTTATCACTTGCACTACTACATGGTATTGTTATTTTTCAATTGTATTTAGTGCCCTAAGCTATGTTTTATATATTGAAAATGTTTGAACAGGGCTTAAATATTGGTGCAATTATGTTGTTGATTATTTTGATGGCTGTAGATGATTGTGT